TGGGTCTTAAATTCCAAATAATGATTCCATCTCTTTTGTGGAAGAATGAATTGTTGTATATTTCATTGAATATTAGAATCCCATATATACAAGTAAATAGCATCGACGAAAGGAGACATATTAATGACAAAGATTACAAAGATTCAGGGTATATTACTAATATACCTTTACCCTAATGAAGCCCTAATTTTCTACTTCTTAATTCTCCTCCTCAAGTTAATAAATAAATATTGTTCATTCCCAGCTAATAATCATCTAAAATACAGGATTTCTTAATCCTTCAGTTAAAAACATTGGCAAGTTGTGAAGCGGTTGATATGTATAGAGTACAAATCAGCCAACTATCTACCTTCTCTTTAATGAAGTGTCTGTCTACTTCAATGTATTTATTTCTGTTATATTGTACTGGATTGTGAGTGATGTTATTCGCTGATTAATTGTCGCAGTAGAGTTTCATAGGTCCATCCCATTGAATTTTCAAATCTTTTAAAGTCATCTTCAACCATAAAAGCTCACACATCCCTTAGGTCATAGCCCTGAACTTTGATTCCGTACTAGACTGAGTTACTACATCTGCTTCTTACTTCTCTAAATTACTAAGTTCTCTCCAAGAAAGGTATAATACCTAGAGGTAGATCTCCTATTAATTGGTGAGCCAACATAATCCAAGATATCAGTATATACTTTAAGAAGTGAACCATTGTTTCTTTTGAACATAATTCATTCCCTTGGAGTACCCTTTAAATAATGAATTATTCTGTAAGCTGCTTATAGGTACACTTTTTTAGGTTTGTGTCACTATATAAGCAATATATGCAATGTCTAGCCTGTTATGTGAAAAATATATCAATTTCCTTACTATTTTCTAGTACGTTTCTCTGTCCATATTTGGGTCTTCTTTCGCCAATTCTAACCTATGATTGGATTAATAGATGTGCTAGCTAGCTTCCATGCGAGTTCGTCGTTTGTCTAACAAATTTGTGACATATTTTTGTTAGGCAATGAATATTCATGACTTTGAGTAGAACACTCTTATTATGAGGAAATATTTTAACTTTCTCAATTCTTTAGTATCGAACTCTCTAACAAGGCATTACTTGAAAGGTACTTTTTCCTCACCATAGTTCCCTATAGTAATTATGTCATCTACATATATCAGGAGGACTGTGACTTCCCATGATTCTAAGTGCTTAATGAAAAGGGTGTGATTTCCGTATAGCATTATCTTTACAAATCTTTCAAATCATACCTAAGAAGTTTGTTAAGCCATGTAGTACCTTTTTCAGTTTGCATTTTCTACTCGTTCCTACTCCCTCAGTAAATCTAGAGGGGATCTTCATGTAAATTTTTTTTTCCAAGTCCCCATGCGAAAAGGCATCTTCACATGCTACCATTGGCAATTGAAGTTAGCAGTTAAGACAAAAGGATACATATCATATTCATCTTTGCAACTGATGCAAATAGTCTTGGTAGTTAATCCGGTATGTTCCAGTATATCCTTTAGCCACCAATCATGCCTTGTACCTCTCTATTGTTCCATCATACTTATATTTGTTAGTTAATACATATTTGCAACCCACCAATATTTTCCCTTTGGACAAGTTCACAACTTTCCATGTTTG